CTCTCTCTCTCTCTCTCTCTCTCTCTCTCTCTCTCTCTCTCTCTCTCCAGGAGTCTTTTAGGTAGACTGGAGCCATCCAGTCCTCCCCCACCCCCCTTTTGCTTGCAGTTCTCAAGATTAACTATGTAGAATGTGCTAGGGAGACTGGCTAGAACAGACCATTCTCCCACCCAAAAAAAAAAAAAAAAGATGTCTTCCAACATGTGAGCCTAATAGCATCAGATGTTCGCTGGGGTATACAACCTACTGTGGGTGGTTTTCCTGAGCGACTCAGCTGCAGTGCAAGTGGGATAAGAGCAATGGAGATTCCATCCACCCAGGATAACTTTCCCGAGCCTGGAGAACTGGCTCAGAATAAATCCTAGGCTGCTGTTAATCTTTGCAGCCTGTCTGTAAGCAATGAACCCACTTCCTGAAACCTGTTGTACATACATACATATGAGTGCTCCATCTTACCCAACTCAAAAAAGTTGGTAACCAATGACACACACTCATTTAACACAACAGCCCCAAGTCTTCCAAAAACTCCCCATCTCACTCAGAGGCAAAACCTAGGTCTAAGCAATGTGTGAAGGGCTTGCAGACCTACTCTCTGCCCTCACCTCTCACTGACCTTAGCTCCTGCCTCAGCTCTCACATCCACAATGCCACTTGCTCTTCCTGGGTTCCAGGGCCATTTCCCCACGTTGCCCCCAGACTCATTTCCTTACCTCCTCTGGATTTTTGCTCAAAGGTCAACTTCTTAGTAAATTCTCCAACTTAAAACTGCATTCCAAAATACTCCCTATCCCCTTTTCTCCTTTCCCTGACACCTGAGTTCTCACTGCCTTCCGTATCATTCTTTTAATTATTGCTTTCTAAAGTCATAGGATTTAAAAAAATGTGAGAGTGGAGATTTTTGACTGTTTTGTCTCCTATGTTAACTACCTTCCTGGAATAGCCTCTGGCACTTGGTGGGGCCTAAGGAACATTCAGTGTCAATATTCTGTGTTCTGCTGGGCTTCTTTCTACTAGTTATATATTGAACATCCAAGAATAGAGCCTGCCAGTCATGTCAGATCCCAACAAGGCAAAAAGACATACTTTCAATAAGTGCCAGATTAATTTTCTACCACAAATTTAGCAGCTTAAAATCAAATTTATTTTCTCACTATAGTTTTGTAGGTCAAAAGTCTGGCAGGCTCAGAGGGACCTCTGCTGATAGATTCCCAAGACCAAAATCGAGGGCTGAGCAGGGCTACATTACTCTCCAGAGGTCAGCTGTTGGTAGAATTCAGTTCCTTGAAGTTGCAGAACTGAGGTTAATTGTTCGCTGTCATCTAAGATTCATGCCAAGTTCTAGAAGCTGTCAGCATCCTTTATCTCATGGTCTCCTTCCTCCATCTTCAAAATCAGCAAGACAGACTAAGTTCTTCTCACATTTTGGATCTCTCCTCTGCTCTCCTTTTCTGCCACAATTCAAACTCATTCATTTGCCTTATCTTCCTCTTTTAAGGGCACAGGTGATTGATTACATTGGGCCCATCCAGATAATCCAGAATCATCTCCCCACTTTAAGATCCATAACCTTCCAGTTGGTCATGTGTGTAGCACGCACAGCTTAATAGCAGGTACTAGGGGATGGGTGTCTTCAGGGTTCATTATTCTGCTACCAGAAATGCTATACATTCTAATTCTCCCAGATGGGTTGTAACCACAGTGTTGTTACACTAACTGCCGTTGAAGATTTCTGTTCTAGCCAGTGTCATGGTATCACACTATTTGTTGGGTTTTGAATCGTCAGCCTAACACAATCTCACACAAACACCCATTTCTGTGAAAAAAAAAAATAAGAAAAACCTGAAATTAACTTCTTAGCGTCCACCTATCACACAGAAACAAATATCAATTTGCTCTGTGCACTGCTGAAGAGAAAAGAAAAACGTCTTCCTCACCCACACTGTTGTTAGAAAAGAACATTTTCTTGGAAACGGCCTCACTTTGTTCACACAATGAAAACCTGGGCTTCACATATCACAGGCAACCCAGGAGCTCATCCCACGGCCTCCTGCTTCAGGAGCACAGCACCACCTGCCTCTCTTTGCAGCACTATCAGGTCTTTTTGTTGGTTGATTTTCCTTCTTGCTGATACAGGGTAGAATGAATCAATCTTACCCATCAACTTTGCCCAAGATTGTCTTCTATATCTGGACAGAATTCCATGCACCTTGCCATCCATTTACTTTGCCATTTGTGTATCTCTTCTATCAACTGCTTATTAACTATTATTAGTTTGGAACTTAATGCCCTCCGCCCAAGGCTCATGGATTAAAGCTTTAGTCACCAACTTGGCATTATTGGAAAATGGGAGAAACGTTAAGAGGCAGGGCCTAGTGGGGGGTCTTCGGGTCATTGGGAATGTGCCCTTGAAGGAGAGTGGGATCTCCATCCTGTCCTCTTTCTTCCTTTCATGTCCAGCCATGAGTTGAATAGCTTTGCTCCACCACATACTTTTGTCATGATGAGCTGCCATGAACCCAAAGCAACAGGCCCAATCAGTCATAAATTAAAATCTCCAAAACTGTGAGCCAAAATAAACCTTGTCTCTTTCTAAGGTGATGTATCTCAGGTATTTGTTATAGAAATGGAAATTTTATGACTGTGCAATAGATTGTACCCAATATCTACTATACAAACTGCATAAACTGGAGCTTGACATGTGTTCTTACCTTTCTATAACTAACTGTCCCTCTAAAATGCATACTGTGATGTCATGTACTATTTTCTGCCAAGAGTTAGTCCCATGATAGAATACGGTCTTCATATAAAAGTAAAATCTAGTGACCAGTTTATTCTATAAATACTTGCTTTTAAAACAGCTATGGAAAAATATTTTTCCTCATGCTCTTTAAGGGAGATTTTTCTAGTGCCCTGTGAGACACCAGCCCACCCACACATGTACTCAAATACACCCTCCAAAATTCAGAAAACCAACCTCCCCCAGAATAATGGATGTTCAGATCAGGTTAATTTTTTGTGGTTCTTTGACAACAAGAATGATAAATAGTCACAAAAGGATGAAAAGATTGAGAAAGCCATGACCTAGCTAGAAAATACAGAGATGGTAATTAGCATCTTCTCCTTGATCATCACGTGAGTAAATAACTTTCATTATTTGGCAAGAAACTAATTAATTGCCTAATGAGTCACCAATCTTTCTTTATAAATTAACACCATTAATTATAGCTCTATAATCCTTTGTGTGTGCCAGGAAAAACTAATTATTAGTGAAGCTTGTTCAACCGTGATATTTACACAGAACAGCCTAAAATTTGGAGACTCTAGCTTTTTCTCTTTTTAGTTCTTCAGTTACTCATAACAAAATACAACCACCCTTGGAAGAAGAACCAGGATGAATAATATTTCACTTTTTATTTTTAAATATGTGAATAGTTTTATAATGAGGTATTCATGTTTACATTGTCATTTCTGTCTTTCATAAACTTTAGGAAAATTTTATGATCAGTTTATTACAAAAAAATTTCAGAAATATAACAGAAAATACATACCCTTAATTTAGAATGGACAGTTTTAATAGTTTCTGATATTTATTTCATCTAATTTATTTTTAGTATAATTTCAAAATAAATTATAGGCACAACAAGAGCTTATTCTTAAATATTTGATGTGCAATGCTCAATTTTAAGAGCATTTTAAAATGAAAATTTCCTAAATTAATCAGTGAACTCAAAAATGCCACTCTAAGTTTTAAGACTTCAAGTAAAGAGATGATTATTCTTCCAATAAGTCTTTGCTAATCCCTCCCAGATTACATGTTTTGTAGTACATAGTTGTGAATACCCTTGTTGTTAAAATTACACACCAGCCTAAAACATGTCTACCATCCCTGTGCAGCCATCAAGCCCATGGGGCAAGGACAGAATCTTATTCAGGCTTTTCAGTGCTTACTACAGAAGCAACACACTGTGGGTACATGTGTGTTGACTATTAAAGGAACATCAAAGATACTGTTGGCCCAGGTAATTGCCAGGTATTTTCCAGCTCAAAAGTTCATGAGGCTTCATGGGAAATAGTTTTTTCAGCCCTTATAGATAATTATCAAATTCCTTCATGATGAAGCTGGTCCTTGTCAGTAGATTTACATGTCTAGGATGAATGTCAGTGTTATTTAAAGGTAAAATGAGTGATTTCCTGTTTGGACACTATTAGACAGGTTATTCAGAAAACTCCCTCCTGGCACAAGATACCTACAAAGGATGGATGAATAGAAAATTCTTCTGTGAAAACATGATTTAGCAGGTTGTAAAGTAAAGGAATAAATCTAAAGCCAGAAATTATTCTATGGGGGCAACAAGTACTACAATTAGGGCTTACCTTACAGATCACTACGAATCTTTTGGCTTCGGGCTTGTGCTTTGATAAAGTCAGGTGATGAAAATTGAGCCTGGGCCCTAATAACTTGGGAAAATTAGATGGGAGACCCCTCTATAAAATCAGTATCCCCCAAAGATGACACCCCCCCCTCCTTAGTGGGTGAACAAGAGACAAAAACATCCTTCAGAAACAGATTGACTCATTTCATTTTTGGCGATATTTAGAGGTAAAATAGGAAATAGTGACCCCCCAAAAAAATTGTTCTCTAGAAGCTTCTAATCAAATCCCACACTCCTACATTATCTAAACTCAGTTAAGATAGACTTACATCAATAAATCCTCTAGGCACCTTCCATAAGCAAACACAAATTTTCCCTGGAGGAAGATGCTTTAAACCAAAAGTTCCTCATCATAAATCATTAGACACATAAGGAAATAAGCTATCAGGTGTGATAATCATCATGAACCGGCAAAATCTGTGGATATTAGAATTATCAAGTGCAGAATATAAAATATATGTCTAAGAAAATAAAAAGAAATTGAAAGATTGCTGAAGGTACAAAAGACCATCAAAATTAAATATGAAATCCAGGCACTGTGGCTCACACCTGTAATCCTAGCAACTCAGGAGGCTGAGGCAGAAGAATCACAACACTCACAACTCAGCCTCAGCAATTTAGCAAAGCCTTAAGCAATTTAGTGAGACTGTCTCAAAATAAAAATAAAAAGGGTGGGTATGTGGCTCAGTAGTAAAGCACCTCTGGGTTCAAGCTCCAGTTCAAAAACATAAAAAACAAAAATGAAGATATCAGAAAGTAAAAAACAAAATTAACTAATGAATAGATTAAAGAGCTGTAAGACAAAGCTGAACAAAGAGTTAAAAAACTAGAAAACATATTTGAAGAATTTACCAAAACAGCCGTAGAGAAACAAACAAACAAAAAAAAACGAAAATATATAAGACATGGACAACCTGAGGGTAGTATGAGAAGGTTTCACATTTGTCTACTTAAAAGTTCCTGAGGGAGATAACAGAGAGAATGGAGGACAGCAAGTTTCAAGGACAAAATAACTAAATAAAGACAGATCCTTAGATTCAGGAAATCCAGTGAATTCAGAGTAAAATTATAGAACATCAAAGTCAAAGAGAAGCTCTTAAGAAGAGCCAGAGAGAAAAGGCCAATCGCCAACAAAGACAGAACTGATCTGTCAATAGTAGTAATGGAAGTTAGGGTGGAAAATGAAATAATATCCTCACGGACTAAAAATAAATAATTTTCAATAACAAAGGTTACATATTCAGAAAAAAATATTGCTCAGGATTGCAACTCAAGATATTTTCAGATAAAAACTGAAGGCACAATGAGCACATTCTCATGTAAAAAAATTCAAAAAAGAAAGAAATAAAAGATATTTCCTGGAAGAAGAAAAATTAAAATAACATAAAACAACAATCCTATATGACAGCAGCATATACTTTGGAAATAAATAAAGTATCCTAAACTGCTTATATTATTTATTAAAAGGAAGTTCGCAATAGCTAAACTGTGGAGACAAACTTGATGTCCTTCAGTATATGAATGGATAAAAAAAATGTATATATACATATATACACAATGGCATATATACACAATGGAATTCTACTCAGCACTAAAAACAAAAAATCATGGTATTTGCAGGTAAATGGATGGCGTTGGAGAAGATAATGCTAAGTGAAGTCAGCCAATCCCAAAAAAACAAGTGCCGAATGTTTTCTCTGATATAAGGAAGTTGACTCATAGTGGAGTATGGAGGGAGAGCATGGGAGGAATAGATGAATTCTAGATAGGGCAGAGGGGTGGAAGGGAAAGGAAGGGGGCAGGGGATTAGCAAGGATGGTGGAATGTGATGGACATCATTATACAAAGTACATGTATGAAGACTTGAATTAGGTGTCAACATACTTTAAAACAGAGATACAAAAATTGTGGTATATATGTGTATTAAGAATTGTAATGCAAAAAAAAAAGTACATGTATAAAGGCAAAAAATAAATATATTAAAGTGATTTGAGAGAAAAGAAAGAAAGAAAATAGACCAGTAGTGTAGGGGAAGGAGATCGGGGGAGGGAGGAAGGAAGGCAAGGGGAAGTACTGGGAAAGAAATTGATCAGATTATGTTATGTGCCTGTATAAATATGTCTCAATGAATCCACTATTCTGTATAATAAATATGCAACAATAAAAATTTTTTCTTCAATTAAAACTGTATGAAAAAGCCTCCAGGGTGATCACTAAGAGAATTAAATACAATAAACGTCTTCCAAACTAGTTATGGCAAAGGTAGAATAAAATAAGCAAAAAAAGCCTCAGTTAGTCCAAAAGCAGATTGGAAATGGGGGAATGGGAGGGACACATAGGAAGAGCTGATGAAATAAAGAATCCAAATTAGATGGCAGAGTGAAATTCAAATACTGTACATCAGTTCTCACAATTAATATAAGTGGAGTGAACTCTTCACTTAATAGACAAAGGTTATCAGAACAACAAGAAAATGTATCCTATTTATAAAAGATACTCCAATCAAAGTTATCGGGGCAAAGGGGAGGGAGGGATGGGTGGCGACCAGGGGGCAGGAAAGATAGTGGAATGAGATGGACATCATTACCCTAGGTATGTGTGTGACTGCACATATGGTGCACTGCTACATCGTGTACAACCAGAGAAATGAAAATTTGTGCTGCAATTGTGTACAATGAATCAAAATGCATTCTGCTGTCCTATATACCAAACTAAAATAAATAAATAAATTTTAAAAAAGATATTCTCAAAACATAAGTATATGGAAATTTTAATAAAAGAATGGAGAAATATAAGGAGGTGCTGTTTAGTGGACTTAGAGTGTCAATTTTGTAAGATGAAAAGCTTGTGGAGATTGGCTGCCCAATAATGCGAACATACTTAACATAGCTGAACATTAAAAATGGTTAGAATGATCAATTTAAAGTTATGTGTACTTTATCACAGCACATTTCTTTTTTGGTAAAGTTTTTACTAGGCAAATGCTAACCAAGAGACAAAGAAACTATGTCATTTGTTTAATACTGTTATTTTAATAGAATAATTTACATTATATTTTAATAACTGAAAGCAAAATTATCCTAGTGACAAAGAAGACTACTTTTAAATTGATAAAAAATTTAATTCACCAGGAAATACGTTTTTAAACTTGTATATACCAATAACACACTTTCAAAATATATGAAGGAAAAAAATTCAATGACTTTTTTATTGAAAAATTCACCATAATAGTATAATTTAAGGTACATATCTCAATAAACAATAGATCAAGCATATAAAAATCATTATGGATACAAAATTCATAAACCACATTAACTAAAAAGCTTAGCCTAGTGAACATTCTAAAACAAAACTTGAGAACATATATTCTTTTGAAGATCACTTGGAACATTTATCAAAATCAGCTACAATGTAAGCCATTAAGCCTCAACATATTTTTCAAAATAGATATCTTGAAAGCTGCATTCTTTGATCATAACCAATTAATAAATAAGTCACAATTTAAAAAAAAAATTTAAAGACCAATATGAAGCAGATATTGAACTGTACATTTTATTAGAGAGGCATAACTTTAAGGACACTCTAATTTAGGAAGCTTGATAAATGTCATCCCACTTCTCACTTGAATTTAGAACTAAATAAAGAGTCAGGCAGATGAAAATAAAAGTGGCATTTTATTAGCAAAATAGGCTTTTTGGAGAACATGGCTTTGGTGTGTATAAATGAGCTGGTTTATTGAATTGAGTTTATCTGAATTGAGTTTGCCCTTTAAAACTTCAGGTAATATCCCCAGGGACAGAGCCTCCCCCTCCAAGCTCGCAATCTGGTGCCTGTTCCCTACAGGCAGACAGATCCCAGGGAGGTGATGTGCGCATGCCCAGTTGCTTTTCCCAAACCTGCTAATCAGACAAGCCACTCCTTCCACAGGGAGTGAAGAGCAAGTGGGGTGGAAAGGAGAAAAGAGTTAGTCGGCTACCAAACCTGCCACATGGGAACAGGCAATGACACTGAGGATCTTGCCAACACCAAATACCAAGGCAAACTTGCAATCTTTGTGAGGACTGGGGTGGGGGCACAAGAGGAATGCAGTTCTGTCAGGGTCTTTACCTCCCTCCTGGAGCTGGGCTGTGATGTTGAGCTCACATTGCACTTTCGCTTTCATAACCAGGATGATCTGCTCCTCGATGGTAACGGTGCCATCAGAATCCAGCTGTGGAAATGAACAAAATGCAAACATTCCCATCACCTTTTTTTTAAAAAAAAAAAAAAAGCCATGATACAAGCATTCATTATTCCATCTTCTAATATAATTGGAAATTAATTTTAACATCAAGCTACCTGAGCAGTTCTTTATCAGAGACAAAACTCAAAATCCATCAGTGTATAATAGTTTATGATAATTTTACCTGATTGGCCTAAAGAAAAAAAAAGTCATAGCAGAAAATATGGATTAAATATGATTAGATAATTATATAACTAATAGTTAAAGATAATTTTACCTGATTGGCCTAAAGAAAAAAAAGTCATAGCAGAAAATATGGATTAAATATGATTAGATAATTATATAACAAAAAATATAACTAGAAAAAATAATAAATGAAAATTTCTTGGAAAGTCATGAAGACTTGATATTGTTTTTTTCACAATATGTCAGAAATTGAAATGGACTAAGGACCAAATTTAGCTCTACCAAAAAATTATAGGTGAAATATGAACAAAACATTCAACATCTTTAGGCTTTGGATTATTTATCTACTAAATGGATTAGTCCAAAAGGCCTCCAGTCATCCTTTTGCCTTAATGTTGAGTCTCTTCCCATGAATTTAGTTCTAGAGAGAAGGCAAGGGAGAAGCCACAATGTTTTGATGACCTACTCTCAGATGTTACTTGTGGTTAGTTGCACCACATTCTATATGTTAAAAGTGAGTCATCATCTTAGGCCACAAAGCAACTCTTACCAAATACAAAAAAAAAAAAGGGAGAGAGAGAGAGAGAGAAAGATAATACCTTGTATTCTCTCAGACTGTAATGGAATGAAATTAGAAATCAATGTTAAAAAAAAACAGAAGCTACTCTAACATCTGGAGAATAAAGAATACACTATTTGAATGACCAATGAACCAATGGACACCAGAAGAAATCAGAAATGAAATTTAAAAAAAAAAATACTTAGAGGTAAAGGAGAATAGCAACACAACATATCAAAATCATGAAGGCAGTGCTAAGAGAAAAAAAGTTCACTGCATTGAGCTCATTCATTAAAAGAATAAACAGTTAACAAATAAATAACATAACATCTCAAAGCCCCAGAAAAAGAAGAACAAATCATTGCCAAATGCAAGTGAAGACAGGAAATATTTAAAATCAGAGCTGAAATCAATGAAATTGAAACAAAGGAAATAATCCAAAAGCTCAACAAAACAAAAATTTGGTTCTTTGAAAAAATAAATAAAAGTGATACATCCTTAGCCATGCTAAAAAATAGAGTGAGAATTTGCAAATTAATAAATTATGGTAGGCGGGCCTGCGACCCACCTGCAGAACAGGTGCAGTGGCCTGCTGAGGGGCAGAGCCGCCGCCTCCCCCCCGCGCCTGCAAGGTAGGCGGAACTGGGACCACTGGCAGAACAGGCCCAGCGGCCTGCTGAGGGGCAGAGCCGCCCCCTCCCCCCGAGCCTGCAAGGTAGGTGGAACTGTGACCACCGACGGAAAAGGCCCAGTGGCCCGCAGAGAGGCAGAGCTGCCAACCACGCCTGCAAGGTAGGCGGGCCTACGACCCACCGGCAGAACAGGCCCAGCGGCCTGCTGAGGGGCAGAGCCACCCCCTCCCCCCCTGCAAGGTAGGTGGACCTGTGACCCACCGGCAGAACAGACCCAGAATTCCGCGGAGGGGCAGAGCTGCCCCAAGCGCCTGCAAGGTAGGCGGACCTGCGACCACCAACAGAACAGGCCAGACCTACAACCGACAGACAAAACAGGCCCAGCGGCCTGCGGAAGGGTAGAGCCGCCCCCCCCCCCGCACCTGCAAGGTAGGCGGACCTGCGACCCACCAGCAGAACAGGCCCAGAGGCCTGCAGAGGGGCAGTGCCGCTACCTGCGCCTGCAAAGTAGGCAGAACTGCGACCACCGACAGAACAAGCCTAGCGGCCCGCAGAGGGGCAGAGCCGCCGCCCGCGCCTGCGAGGGAGACTTTGCAACTATACAAGACCAATATAAATATATAGGGGGAAAATTCAATAGCACAACAGTTTCACCAAGCAGAAAGAAACGCGAACAGTATGAAGAGACAAGGAAAGAAAGGACCACAAGCAATGCAGGTCAACTCAACGTTAGAAGAGGTAATAGCTGCAGCAGATGGGATGTCAGATAAAGAATTCAGGATATACATGCTTCAGATGATCTGGAGTCTCAAGGAAGACATCAGACAGCAAAATCAGACAATGAAAGATCACTTCAACAATGAATTACATAAACAAATCCAAGAAGCAAAAGATCAACTATACAGGGAGATAGAGGTTATAAAAAACAAACAAACAGAAATCCTAGAAATGCAGGAAGCAATAAACCAACTTAAAAACTCAATTGAGAATACTACCAGCAGAGTAGAACACTTAGAAGATAGAACATCAGACAATGAAGATAAAGTATTTCAACTGGAAAAGAACATAGACAGCTCAGCAAGACTGTTAAGAAACCATGAGCAGAACATCCAAGAAATATGGGATAACATCAAGAGACCAAATTTAAGAGTCATTGGGATACAGGAAAGGATAGAGTTTCAAACCAAAGGAATGAGCAATCTATTCAATGAAATAATACGAGAAAACTTCCTAGACTTGAAGAATGAGACAGAATCCCAAATCCTAGAAGCCTACAGGACACCGAATGTGCAAAATAATAAGAGATCCACACCTAGACACATTATAATGAAGATGCCCAACATACAGAATAAGGAGAGAATTTTAAAAGATACAAGAGAAAGGAAGCAGATTACATTTAGGGGTAAGCCAATCAGGATAACAGCTGATCTTTCAACACAGACTCTGAAAGCTAGAAGATCCTGGAATAACATATTTCAAACACTGAAAGAAAATGGGTTCCAACCAAGAATTGTGTATCCAGCGAAATTAAGCTTCAGGATGGAAGATGAAATTAAAACCTTCCACGATAAACAAAAGTTTAAAGAATTTGCAGCTAGAAAACCATCTCTTCAAAACATCCTCGGCAAAACATTACAGGAAGAGGAAATGGAAAATAACAATGAAAACCAACAGTGGGAAGTAGGACAGTAAAGAGGGGGGGGAAATAATCAAAGAGGAAAACAAACCATGTTTAGTAACAGAAATAAACAAATATGGCTGGAAGAACAACCCATATCTCAATAATAACCCTAAATGTTAATGGCTTAAACTCACCAATTAAGAGACACAGGCTAGTAGAATGGATCACAAAACAAGACCCAACAATATGCTGCCTACAGGAGACGCATTTGATAGGAAAAGACATACATAGGCTGAAGGTGAAAGGTTGGGAAAAATCATATCACTCATATGGACTTCGGAAACAAGCAGGAGTGTCCATACTCATATCAAATAAAATAGATTTCAAGCCAAAGTTAATCAAAAGGGATAAAGAGGGACACTACATACTGCTTAAGGGAACTATACACCAACAAGACATAACAATCATAAATATATATGCCCCAAACAATGGTGCAGCTATGTTCATCAAACAAACTCTTCTCAAGTTCAAGAGTCTAATAGACCACCATACCATAATCATGGGAGACTTCAACACACCTCTCTCGCCACTGGACAGATCTTCCAAACAAAAGTTGAATAAGGAAACTATAGAACTCAATAACACAATTAATAACCTAGACTTAATTGACATATATAGAATATACCACCCAACATCAAGCAGTTACACTTTTTTCTCAGCAGCACATGGATCCTTCTCAAAAATAGATCATATATTATGTCACAGGGCAACTCTTAGACAATATAAAGGAGTAGAGATAATACCATGCATCTTATCTGATCATAATGGAATGAAACTGAAAATCAACGATAAAAGAAGGAAGGAAAAAGCATACATCACTTGGAGAATGAACAATAGGTTACTGAATGATCAATGGGTTATAGAAGACATCAAGGAGGAAATTAAAAAATTCTTAGAGATAAATGAAAACACAGACACAACATATAGGAATCTATGGGACACATTGAAAGCAGTTCTAAGAGGAAAATTCATTGCGTGGAGTTCATTCCTTAAAAAAAGAAAAAACCAACAAATAAATGATCTCATACTTCATCTCAAAATCCTAGAAAAAGAAGAGCAAAACAACAGCAAAAGAAGTAGAAGGCAAGAAATAATGAAAATCAGAGCTGAAATTAATGAAATCGAAACAAAAGAAACAATTGAAAAAATTGACAAAACTAAAAGTTGGTTCTTTGAAAACATAAACAAAATCGACAGACCCTTAGCCATGCTAGCAAAGAGAAGAAGAGAGAGAACTCAAATTACTAGCATACGGGATGAAAAAGGCAATATCACAACAGACACTTCAGAAATACAGAAGATAATCAAAAATTATTTTGAATCCTTATACTCCAATAAATTAGAAGATAGTGAAGGCATAGATAAATTTCTTAAGTCATATGATCTGCCCAGATTGAGTCAGGAAGATATAAACAACCTAAACAGACCAATATCAATTGAGGAAATAGAAGAAACCATCAAAAGACTACCAACTAAGAAAAGCCCAGGACCGGATGGGTATACAGCAGAGTTTTACAAAACCTTTAAAGAGGAACTAATACCAATACTTTTCAAGCTATTTCAGGAAATAGAAAAAGAGGGAGAACTTCCAAATTCATTCTACGAGGCCAACATCACCCTGATACCTAAACCAGACAAAGACACTTCAAAGAAAGAAAACTACAGACCAATATCTCTAATGAACCTAGATGCAAAAATCCTCAATAAAATTCTGGCGAATCGGATACAAAAACATATCAAAAAAATTGTGCACCATGATCAAGTAGGATTCATCCCTGGGATGCAAGGCTGGTTCAATATACGGAAATCAATAAATGTTATTCACCACATCAATAGACTTAAAAATAAGAACCATATGATCATCTCGATAGATGCGGAAAAAGCATTCGACAAAGTACAGCATCCCTTTATGTTCAAAACTCTAGAAAAA